ATCCAATGGCAATGGTGATAACCAAGTTTCAGGAAACGGATCCAATGGCAGTGGCGATAATCAAGGTTCAGGAAGTGGTTCTAACCAAGGTTCAGGAAGTGGATCCAATGGCAGTGGTGCTAACCAAGGTTCAGGAAACGGATCCAATGGCAATGGTGATAACCAAGTTTCAGGAAACGGATCCAATGGCAGTGGCGATAATCAAGGTTCAGGAAGTGCTAACCAAGGTTCAGGAAGCGAATCCAATGGCAATGGTGATAACCAAGGTTCAGGAAGCGAATCCAATGGCAATGGTGATAACCAAGGTTCAGGAAACGGATCCAATGGCAATGGTAGTAACCAAGTTTCAGGAAGCGGATCCAATGGCAGTGGTGATAATCAAGGTTCAGGAAGCGAATCCAATGGCAGTGGTGCTAATCAAAGTTCAGGAAACGGATCCAATGGAAATGGTGCTAACCAAAGTTCAGGAAACGGATCCAATGATAATCAAAGTTCAGGAAACGGCAGTGGTGTAAATAAGAAACGTGGTGGTAACCAAGGTTCAGGAAACGGATCCAATGGCAATGGTGCTGACCAGAATAGGAAATGAGGTGGTGAAGGTGGAGGCCAAAGCACAGGAACCGGATAAATAGTGTGAATAATTATATAATAATTATATAATTAATAATAATAGATAGAATTTAGGTTTTTGTAATATCAGTAGTGGTAGTACATCAAAGTTAGCTTACATTTTTTAGTTATCGACTAATAGATTAATAAAACGTGTAAATTTTTAAATTTATATCGTCACAATATCATTTTCATAAAATAAGATTTTTACTAAAACGCACCTGTGGTGTTTTACACCTATGTATATATTATTTCAAAAACGGGCAAATTGACCAGTACAAGATGTTCTAAGTAAAAAAGCTCTGCGCCTCTAAAAACCCTCCCAAACCCTAACCCTAATTTTAAATACCAACACAAAATGAAAATTTTGTGTTGAAAATTTTTGAAAAATCATAATAATACATATAATAGGTGCAAAGCTACCATAGGTGCGTTTTATAATAAATGTTATAAAAATCAATTCCCGGATTTCTCTTATCAATTTCATTTTTTTTTTTTTTACAGTACGGGACAGCTAAAGATATCCGCTTTTTATATATAAAATATAAAAATGCTTATAACTCAGGAACAAATAACTTTAAAAAAATCTGTTTACAAATTTGTTGATTTTAGTCCAAACTACAATTCTGTTAGAATAGATTTTTATTTTTATCATATCGGCAGATTTACGGAGTTGTTCATAAATTGAATCTTAAGCTATCCGCTAAAGTTTTGTAGCAAACAAATATACGTACATATGAGTGCTGCCAAGGGAAAAAGGCCGATCAAACTTTTAATATGTTAGCCGTCTATGGAAAATTTATCTCCATAATAAATTTTTCATAGACGGTTAACTGTACACAAAGATATTAATATATGAAAGTCCGATCGGCCTTTTTTCCCTTGGCAGCAGCATTCATATAAGATATAAAATCGGCGTTATTGTATCTATTTACCCCTTAAATTATATGTAACGTATATTTATATTTGTTTGCTACAAAATTTTAGGTTCATTTAGCGGATAACTTTGAAGATACAATTCCGCAAATCCGCCAATAGGTTATAAAATTAAAAGGTTTTTAGAGATTAAAGTTTATATGTAATCAAAATTTGGCATTTAATATATATAAAAAAAAAAAGTTTTTAACCAACCAGAATTCATTACACAAAAGTTAGCCAATAATATTTGATTATATAATCCCAAAATTTAGCGTTTTTTTAAAAAAAATGGTATATTTAGCTGCCCCGTACTGTATCATAATGCAACTTTTGTTAGTTTTACTATCTTGCGAAATCTTTCGTTGCTTTCACATTTAGTCATTTGAAATTTTAATTAATGAAAACGAAAACTAGTTTCGCATCTCATCGCGTGAAACTACCATCAGGTTTCGCCTAACAAATGCAAGTCGTTATATATACTGTATTTTAGTTTCAGATACAAAATAATGCCTTTACCTAGTTCATATAAATGGGTTGATGGATCACTAAATTTAATTTGAGCCACTTATTTACTTATTATTTTTTTATTTGCCTGACGAGTTATTAGGATATTATAATTGTGATTGCTTTGACTTATTGACAGTGTCTGAAATTGGGTTGCGGAGTCTGCGGACCGCAACAAAATTTTAAGTTCTGCAACCAAAATCTGAAGTGCACATGCAGATTCCGCATATAAATTTTACCTACAAATTTCGATTAAATGTTCATGTGCGCAACTAAATTTTTATAAATTTTTATAATTCGCAAGTGGTTTTTTTTTTTTAAATTGGTTGCTGACCGCTTATTGAGTTAAAAATAAACCTTTCCGCCTCAAAAAATAATACAGTCAGAACTCTATAAATGCACTACCGCCGGGACCATAGGAAAAAATTTTGGCATTTATAGAGTAGAAGTTATATATAGTTCTTATGAGTTGGGACCAGACCATGCCGTGCATTTAGAGAGTTTTTACCTAGTCTGTGCATTTATAGAGCGTGCATTTATGGAGTTTTGACTGCATAGTTAATTGTCTATAAGCTGTCAGAATTGCAATGTCAAATGATCTATTCCACTGTTTAAAATTTTTTTTGGGTACGAAATTCAATTCGTATATTAGCCATGTGCAGTTTTCATTAATTGATTATACATAATATTGTTCTAAACTATTAATGTTTCAATTGTTGTGTTGTTCATATTCATGTTTTGATTTGGCATACTAAATAATGGTTCTCGTTAATCTTGTCGGTTAACTTTTCAACTCTTTGTGAGCCCATTCTTTATTCTTTCATTGCACCATTCAAAAAATATTTTTTGCAATTTACACCATTTTTATTAATAATAAGCGAAAACAATATTGGCCTCAATATGTCGTTACATGGAAGTTATAATTTTTATAAATTATAATGCGACAGGGTGAAACCCGCGCTGCCAATTAGTAAAATCCGCGCAGCGCGGATTTCACCCTGTCAATATAAAAGCTGCACCAAAACTTTGAACGAAGATATCTCGATAACCACCTATCTAAATTCGACGATTTTTTTTTTTTTTTATTTGAATTCTGTAGTTCCATAGAATTTAAAAAACAAATTTTCATCGAATTTGGTCAGATAGTTGTTGAGATATTTTCGCTCAAAGCTTTAGAAAAAATCAAAACATCAAAATTTTGAACGAAGTTATCTTGATATGACTAAATTCGATGGATTTTTTTTCGTTTTTGAATTCTAGAAATCTATAGAATTAAATAAAAAAATTTTCATGAATTTGGTCATATCGAGATCTTTTAAAAAAAATTTGGCGCAACTCCTATAGGCGTTTTGATTTTTTCTAAAGCTTTGAGCGAAAATATCTCAACAACTACCTGACCAAATTCGATGAAATTTTTTTATTTGAGTTCTATGGATCCACAGAATTCAAATAAAACTCTCTCTCTCTCTCAAAAAATCATCGAATTTAGTTAGGTGGGTATTGAGATATCTTCGTTCAAAGTTTTGGTGCAGCTTTTATTTTGACAGGGTGAAATCCGCGCTGCACGGATTTTACTAATTGGTAGCGCGGGTTTCACCCTGTCGTATTATAATTATCATATTATTTTTCAAAACATAAATTAAATTGTCTACTTTGTGGATATCGAAAAATGGTGTTGAACGGTTTGTTCATTAGAATTGCCAAATTTGTTCGTTATTCTGTAAGTTAATAAATGATATGGACTAGGTGCTGCGAAAATAGACGAAATTGACATTTTTTTCAAAAGATGTTTTTTTTACATAAATCAATTTAAAATATTATTAGGATCATTTTCACTTGATATACAGTAGTTGTGTTAATAAAATTTTGCAATATAGCTTCTTAAAGTTTGTATTTTCTTATGATCTATTATAAGATTTACAACATAAAAATTGATTTTCTGAAGATCTTTGTTTTTGTCAATTTCGTCCCTTTTCGTAGCACCTAGCCCATATAATCAAATGGTCTGTTAAACAATCCAATGTTTAAAAAAGGTTATATGAGCGCTTTTCAATAGAATGGGTTGATTTTTTTGGCTTATTAAATAAAGCATAACCAGATACAGTATACAATACTAATTAAAAGTTAAATTATGCTAACCTAATAATTTTTTAAGTTTTACATGTAATCTTTATTATCTAGTGCTGTATACGGTACCGGTGTGACACGATTTTTACACAGTAATAGTGAAAATTAAATTTCATGTGCATTGCACACTTGTAGGGTTCCTACAAACCCAAATAAAATCAAACTTTAGGCCAAGTTTGGGTTTGATTTGATTTCAAATCAAACCCGATCTCAAACTAGCATTTAAAAAAAT